TCAAAATATGAAATTTTCTGTAAATGTAAACGATGGTGATGCTTTACTCAACGTAACGGAAACCTTGCCAAAAATGGACTTCCAACATAGCCCTGAAAACATCAAAAGTTATCTTACTGTTGTGCCAGAAAAAATAAAAAGAAAACTGTTTAGTGACAACAGTGAAGATGAATTAGATAATACTAAAAAAATAATTAACACGAATATGGTTATTATTAAACCATCTGCTCCTAATCCATTTAAAAACAAAACTATATACACTGGACTGTGCTATACGTGTGTTAATAATATAACACGTAGTCAATATGGAGTAAAATGTTCAAATTGTTCCAGAACATACCATATAAAATGTATTTCCAAAAATAAGATGAAATCCGCCGAAATGGAGAACTTTTGGTGCAACGTTTGTTTTGATAAGATAACATTGTAATTGGTTTGTAATTTCTTCCATTTATTAAAAATTTTTGAAACCAAATTATTCTTTGATCACTAAAATTATGTATATAATTTTTTATAGTTCTTTAACCAAAATTAAAATTACGCAGGTAGGGTTCATAAATAAGAAGAATGTGTAGGGTACCTCAGCTTCTTAGTGGTGGCCAATGACTATCTACTTTACTATGCCAATTACTATACGAATTAGGCCAATCACTGTAAAATATGCTTCTGCAAGAATAAAACTTTTTTTTATAAATATTAAACATTTTTAATCAATAAATGACTTACTGAGTCATAAAGAGGACACTTTAGTCTAACATTTAGTGTATTATTTAAATATATGGTTTTCAATAAAAATTAATGTCTTACACATTTATCAAACTCTAATGCTTAAGTGGCCAATCACTGTAGCCTTTACCCTATATTTGTTTTGATTTTTGTAAATAATGATAAGCAGTAGAAAACGACTTCACTTCAGTAATGAAGATGATATGTTTTTGTTTAAGGAAGTCGTAGGCCAGAACCCTTACGATCATCCAGAAAGGTGAAATTTAATCCAAAAGCGAAAAAGATTTTTACATTGTATATCAGACATGTTATCTAAATTAAAGCGGCTGTATAGTCGTTCAAGATGTGGAGAAAAAACAGATTTTCTATGTCCTCGTCTTCTTCATCATCAATAATGGCACCTACATTTTATTATTGCGTCCATCTATAAAATTAAAAATTGTCAAGGACAAGGCAGGCCCTGAACTTATTAGTGTATCACTAATTCGATAAGGGCAACACCATCGTTACGTTACGTGCAGAACTTTAACTCTCAATTTAACGTTTAACTTTTTCGATACGTTAGTTCTTTACGTATAGGGAGATACGTTACGTTAGGTAGTTACAAAAACTTCCTAGTAACCTGCGATACGCAGATGACATACTTAAACTGACAGCAAATTAAGTTGAAATAACTACCATCACCGAACGGCTAAACCGGATAAGCAAAACACCGGGAATACAAAACTAATGATCGTAGACTAAGCAAATAATAATCTACTGCACCTACACCAAATGGAGGAATTTCGAAGTAGCAGACAGATTTGTATACTTGGGCCCTTGATAACCAACAATGGCAATAGCTTCTCAGAAATCAAGCGTAGACTAGCAATGGCTCGAAATTCTTTGGGACCCAATTTTTTTTGGGGTATTACGATCTCCACTTTAATTATTTCTTTGTACTGGTAACCATAGATGGTTTTTAAAGTGTACCAAACCAAACTTTTAGATAAAAAAAACAAAAAAAAAATAGTGAGATATATATGTCCCAATGGGAATGTTGGTTGGGATTATTATGTCCCGTAGGGTATATTGGGAGATTACGGCCACAAATAAATGAACACTTTATTTCAGAAAGATTTACAAAAATATAAATAAAAAACTTCCATGTAACTTAATATGTGTGATATAATGTGAAACAATATTTACACAAACCTACATCGCACATTGTGTAGATGGTTGTGGTTCTTCTTTCTTTGCCCATTCTTGAGCAAATTCCGTCTCTCTTAAATCGGCATGTGGTCTCCTACATTTTTATTTCGTGATCTCTTTGAAGGTCTACCTAAACATATTTTTCTAAGTTTTACCTACTTGTGTAGTGGTTTTACCTTTAGAAATGAGATCTTCTGATAGCTCAAACAAAGTTTCTAAAAGGGGTGTTTTCTTGCGTGTTCAATGTAAATCATTATATATTACCCAACCATTTACCACTGACACTATAAGCAATCGGTAGAAAACTTTTTTCCACCATTTACAGGTTCGTCTATCCATTTCATACACTCTACTCATTTGGTCAGCCAGGTACACACCAACCATAATTTCGTTGTATAAAGCAACACTAGTAGGACAAGGAACGTCCACTTTGGTCACACTTTTATTTTTTTCTTTGAATAGTTGTACAACTACTCTTATAACAGTTACTCAACAAGGATACTTGTTTGGTATCTTGTCATTTTGTGGCTAGGGTTTGGAACTCATTTGTTAGAACTAGTCTCCCTTGTTCATTTTTCTTTTTATAGAAAACTCTTTAGGCATGTTCCGTCTATTGGTAATGGCTGTACTAACTACAGCTAATTTAATATTGTCCACTAGACTTACAGAGGTAAAAAACCTCTCAAAAGCCACAACAACATTATCAATACGTATTGATTTACATAGCGTTTTTACTACTCTTTCACCTAGAGTTCCATCAGCTTGTTCAACTTCCTTTCCAGAGTAAACGGTAAACTCATATGTGTATCCTGTCTTAGAATCACACCTGTACCATAGTTTTATACCCCTTTTCACTGGTTTTAGAGGTACATATTGTTTTAGGGACGACCGACCTTTGAACTTCATTATACTCTCGTCGATTGATTGTCTAGTACTGTCGGTACGATACTTCTGAAATGTAAGCTTGAAACAGGAGAGCAGTTCTTCTACATAATATATCTTACTGCAATGTTCGGGTTTCTTTGGACCATTGAAGTAAAGTTTGGAGAGAATGAATAAGCATCTGTTTTTTGATATTGCAGTACCTATCGTTTTATTTCCGACAGATGGATGCGAAGACCAATAATGTCTCAGTTTAGGCACTCTGTTGTAGCACATTATTAGAGTACAACCAATAGGAATCATTACTTCACCAGCATCAGTAAGCGGTTCAGACTTTTCTTCCTTACGATTATACATTTTAATTCTCTCGTTTGTACAATCCGCAATAAAAATAAATAAACTTCGAGGGAATACTTTCAAGAAAATTTCTAGACGTGACGAGTTCATATTAATTGATTCATCAACTACACAAGGTATTCCAGAAGGAACAGCAAATTTGAGTTTATGGTCAGCTGCAACTGATGTCCATACCATAGGGAAATCTCTTTTTTTATTGGCAATGGTTTTCTTACCTTCAATTAAATCTTCCCCATCTGGCAAGCAAGTATTCTCGTCTTCTTCATGTTAAGGAGAATCAAATGAAAACGTATTTGATCCATCTGATGAGCGAGTGTGTTCTTCTTCATTGTCAGGACAATCATCTGATGCCCATATACGACTCATCAGAAGAATGATCACTGTCGTGGAATGGGTCTTCTTTGTCGTATTCTGAAGATATATTAGATTCTGCATCTATGTCATCGCATGAAGATATGTCGCTTATATTATCAGCCAGTTCTTGCAATTCCTTTTAAGTAAGCTTTCTTTTTCTTGACATGCTGAAAAAAACCAATGGGATATAAAAGACTAGTCCAACAAACCCAGTGGGACAAATAAATCCCATGTGATTTCTGATGTAAGTTTGCCAATTTACAAAAGTAAACGAATCTCAGATTAACGTGTAGAATAATTACATACACTAAACAACAAACTTACCTTACGACTGTGTCGAAAACAAGTTGTTTTAACTGTAAAAACGTTGAAAAGTAAGAACCACGTATTAACTGCGTCATACTTACGAACGAACTGAGCCATCCAACGTTGCCAATATCACTTTAGTAGAGAAACATGTGCAGTGTAGTCGATAAACTTCGATATCGAAGAATATAATGTAAAACAGGATTTATTTGGAACATCAGGCAAATTGAAACTGTCGCTGGGATCTATAAGTCCCACAGGGTTAAGTAATTAAAACATAGAAAGACCGAACAATAACAAGGAATACTAAGATCAGGTAGGTCAATACCCTTATTTTTCTCATTGCTACATACGCAGCTAAAACATGGACTTTCAAAAAAATCAATAGAAGTAAGATCGAATCCTTCTAAATGTGGGTCCACAGAAACATTATGCGCGTATGCTGGATAAAACACAAAACAGGCTATTAAAAAAAAATAAACTGAGCATATCTAAATGCTTCGACCACGTACACTGAAGAACGGTGACTATGAAACTATTGGTAGTAGAAGGAAAGGTAGAAGGCCGAAGACCGAGAGAAGCACAATTGGCAGACCAAATGAAGACGGGTAAAAAAATCCCTACATAAAGTTGCCCATCTGGTATAGAATCATGGCCAATGAAGACAGAAAACTAATTTAGAGTGTCATCACGCCCTATAAAGGCTCAGGGAATGAGGAGGAAGAGGTCACCTTTTAGCTAATGTCCAATTGACTATCTACACTGCATATATATATATATATATATATATATATATATATATATATATATATATATAACCTATACAATTTTCTTAATAAAATTTTGAACATATAATATACAAACAAACTTTATATTAAGATTAGAAATGAGACCTACTGACATTTATGATTCGTGAAATGGCTAAATTTTCAACCAATATTATAAAAAATAAATTCCACGTCCTATTCTAAATACGGTTATCCTTAATGGCGCGTTACTTTTTATAACATATGACAAAAAACTTTTTATAACATAAAATAATTTAGTTTTATACCCTAAAGATTTACTCGTATAATCAAAAACAAGCTTTGATAATCCCTTCCTATATCCCATTCCCTCGTTTTTAGAAACCATATCAATTTTCCGTATCCCATCTCTCATTGAATTTATTTGTATTTTTGCAGTTCCTTCGTGGGCGATGGGTCCCAAAGGATGTCTGTTGACGGAATTGCCGTCGTTGACTGTCCTGTACATCCCCGAACAATCCTCTCTGGAGTTGACGTCCGACTGCGGTTTGGACGGAACCAAGAGAATAGCGTGCAAAGGGAATGCGGTAAGTTTAAAGACACAAACTTCTTCCGAGTACATCGACAACTTACAAAGAAGGAAGCTCCTATGGGGGGTTTATAATCTCGATATTCTCGCAGACAGCAACAAGTGTATCAAATTATATACATGAGTATTTAAATTCTCACAAAAATGGTGTTTTTTGGTTTTTGTTTTTAGTGAAAACACCTCTAGCAATTATTTTTATATTTAAAATTATTAATCGAAAATTTAAATTAAGTTTAAATTTACTAAAGCGAGTCTCAAAACTATATAATAAACATAAAACATATGTTGCCCGGCAGATTTTACTTGTGCCAATATTTTAAATCTCGCGGCACAAACCGAGATTAATTAGATTTTGTTAATATTATATTATATTAAGAAGATTCTTCTTCTTCTTTTATTTTATCTAGGTATATTACCTGTTCTTCTTCAACCTTGCCTCATATTTTATTGGACTATTGTCATTTCACCACTTTCTAGGACGACCTATGCATTTTCTTCTAATTGTGAACTTAACTTGGGCTATTCTAGCGATTATATTTTCTGAAATTCTGCTAATGTGACTATTCTGTTCTTCCTTTAGAAAATGTACCCTTTAATTTATGTTCACTATCCCGCGCGTGTTTCTGATGTTGTTACTTCTTGATGTATTAGTGTCTATCATATTTTTACTCGTTTCCAGTTATCTTCTTCTTGTGCTAGTTTCTGGTGTTGTTTCAGCAGACTATGTTATTAGAGGCCCGAATAGAGATTTAGAATTCACTTCCGTTTCTAGGTGTCTTAATCACAAAAGAAGAAACAGGATGTATCCAAAATTTACAGAAAACCAACTCACACCAACGAATATTAAAAGTAACACTCCAACCACAAAGTAAACTCAAAAAAAAAATATCAAATAATTATATGATAGGATCCGAAGCACCTGCTCGGGCAATACAAAAAGTTTTAATAAACTAACATCTGCTAACAAAAGTTTTAATAAAAGATGACTGCATCCAAACCACCAACACACTGAGATCTATCCTGTCAAATCCAAACCCAAAAACAAAGAGAAAAGATTAAAGAAGTGCATCTATATAATACCCTGTGAATGGAGCATTTTCTATGTAGAAGAAACGATAAGCTCACTAAGTGCCAGAATATAGGAGCATGAAACATACATCAAGAACAGAGACTTCAGCAAATCTCAGATATGCAAACTTGCTTAAGACAACCAGCACAGAGTACAATGAATACAATTGAAAAAGATGCATTAATAATCATGAAAGAAACAGACATAAAAAACGAGAAAAGTCAAAGAAACAGCTCTCATGCTACTTAAAGAAGAAAAATAGGTAGTAAACCGATCAGCAGAATGTAACAGGCGTTAGTTGCCAATACTAACAGAAGAAGTCAATAACAAGAATATAGCAACAGTAACGGATAATATAATACAAGATATAATACAAGAAAACATACAGAATAAACAAAATTTGATATTTAGAGGGTAAAAACACCATCTTCATGTTTTTTGTAATCATAAGTATGCTATTGCTAACAAGATCGAGACCAAATAAGCCTATAAATCCAAATAAACCCAAATAAGGATCATCCACATTTTACCACTACTTGCAAGATTGTTCATTGATCTTTCGTCTTCACTGAAAGCATTTAAGGTACCCTACTATTTCTTTTGTCCATCTCTACAATACGACCTCAAGAACAGAATGTGCAACCGCTAAGATCTATTTCACATCACACAGCGACTTGCTGCCAAAAGAACAAATGAGCTTCTCTGTATTGTGCGCTACAAAAAAACATCGCCTGAGGATGCCGATTGGCTCAACGAAGACGAAATTTATGCAAATGGTTTAATAATTCTGGATGTCAGTATTGAAAGAATGTGAGTGGATAACAAATCTGTGGACAGAGGAGTAGTAACTCCAATTGAATTGTTTTTTAAATACACCTCTTTCTTCCATTAATATCAACAAAAGAATTAGGAACTCCATCAGCAGAGTTACGACATATCCTGGAGCAGATATCGGATTTAATCACAACCCTTTAAAGTCCAATATGAGTGTTACGCTAAAACGAGTATAGAAAAAATATCAGAAAAAGAATTTTACTATATTACTTGTCAATAAAAGTAAAGGCAGACGAATTCAGAAAAAAACAAAGTAAATAAAACAAAATATATGGGCTGCTAAAGAAAAGTGCTTTTAGAAGCTTTAGTTGGAAGAATTAGAAAACAAATATGACCTATTCAATTTGCAACAATGAAAGTTCGTGAAGTTTCTGGCTGTATAATAAGAAAAAATAGTCAAGAAGGACCTAAAATTTTAATATCTGAATTTCATCATGCAATAAAATCAGTCTGCTACTGATCAACATTCATACTACTGATCCTACTGATCCAGTCCACATCTACCAAAACAACAAAATGAAAGTTAGAATAGATGGACAACTTACAGATGGATGAAATCATCAAAATCGTTAACAAAGAAAGAGGATACAGAATGGGAAACAAAGAAATCAAAATACTCTGTTATGCAGACGACGCAATATTGATAGCCAAAGATGAAGATATCTTGTAAAGACTGGTCCACAGATTTAACATGAGAGCAAAAGAATTTAATATGACAATCTCATCTCAGAAAACTAAAACAATAGTAGTCAGCAAAGAACCAACCAGATGTGAAATAGTAATTGATGGCATCAGTATTGAACAAGCAATGTAAATAAAATAACTGGAAATTACACAGTCTAGCTATGGAGACCTGGACACAGAAGAAAGAGATCAAGTACAAAAAGCAAATAGACTGACAGGATGCCTTAAAAACACTATATGGCGAAACAGACACCTTAATACTGAGATGAAATCAAGAATTTATAAAGCCAGTGTAAGACCAATAATAATAAAGGCTACTCGAAACGGCAGAGATGATAGTAATAAGAAGAATTACGCTGAGAGATGGAAAGATAAGTGGAGACTTTAGAAGAAAATGTAACGTACAGTGTATAAATGAATGGAAATAAAATAGAAAGAAAATGTAATAACCACATCAGCAGAATGAAGGAGACCCGTGTCGTCAAAATAGCAAGAGATAAGTCACCAATCGGCAGAAGAAGTATTGGACGACGGAACAAAACCAGGAGTGACAATCTTCCATAGAGGTATTAATCCGCTAATGAACAAGCAGAATTGCTTATAAAGAGGAAGAAGAAGAAGAATAAAATTAGTCAAAACCAAGAAAGCAACTGGACCAGACAACATCACATCTGAACTCTTCAAACTGATACAAGAGAACCACATCAGTGTTCTAGTTAGGCATTTTAATGGTGTCTACACTACTGGTTAAAATAACTCAGGAATGACTAAAGTCTATTTTTGAACAATTATGAAAAAACAGTGGGCAAAAAGACGCGACGAATGCGGATTAATTAGTCTAATGATCTACACATTATTGAGAAATGTTTTTCTTCGCATTATTCATTACGAAATAGACCTAGATGAAACCCAGTTGAAATTTAGGAACGCGCTGGGTATCCGTGAAGCACTTTTTGGCTTAAATGTACTAAAAAATGCCGCGTCCAATGTAAAGGTATTTATGTGGCTTTCATCGATTACGAAAAGGCTTTCGATAGAGTGAAGCCTGAAACGCTTGTGAACATATTAAGCACAAAAAGTCATTGATGGTAGAGATCTACGTACCTTATAAAGCTTATATTGGAAGCAGACTTACGAGTCAATGGAAGATTAATCAACGAATGTTACATTTAAAGAGGCATCAGATAGAAATGCATTGGCAACTACAGCCAAGTTAAGATATTAAGTGCAGAATTGAAGCAACTCGCACAACGTATCGAAAAATGAAATAATTTTTCTGTGACATTTTCATACACAATAATTATTTGGCAACGTCCGCCTGATCAAAACAACAAGTAACGAGTAGTAGAGGTGGGTCGTGGTAGTTTTATCGTTAAGAACATAAGCACAAAATTTCGGGCCAATATGTTTTAAATGCATTCATTTTTTTTCGAATCCTGAGAAAACTAATAAATATTTTTGAAAAATTTAAACTCAGAATGAAACAATACATTATTACCGATGGCCGAAAGTCCCTGAAAACTTCTATAATGTTTATTTTAATAAGTTATAGGGGTGAAAAAAAATTAGTTTGATTTTTAATTTCAAATATCTCATTCAAAAAACTTTTTGTTTATTCTAAGGGACTTTTGGCCCTCGGTAATTATGTAATCTTTCATTTTGCATTTAAATTTTTCAAAAATATTTGTTAGATTTCTCAGGATTCCAAAAAAAAATGAATGCATTTAAAAATTTAAATTTTCGTAAACAAGTAACTATGATTATTTAAAAGTAGTTTCAAGTAAGAGAGTACCTACATAAACAAACATAATGGCTATTATCGTTTATGTGTATATTTATTGAAGTGAAAGAAACTAATGATATATTTATTATAACTTGAAAAATAAACTAAACAATACAAATAGTAAATCGTACTTACATTTACATTACACGTTACTATTAAATCGCGAATACTCTAAATTGACATTAAAAAACATAAGTTTTTCTACTTTACTTCTTATTAACCGTGTTCTTTTTTATTTCAAATTAAACTAGATTTTGAACATGTGTTCACATTGACAATACTTTATGAATATAGTGGTTAAGTTAGGATATACATGGCGATGTTTTTTTCACCGTTGTAATGGACTCTCGATACAGGTGTACGTGTAGATGAGTCATCTTCAATTAATTGATCAAAAATACACCATGGACTTAAGTCACCTTTATTGGTTTTTTTTCTTGTACTGGTTGATTTTCAATAGTACAATCTTCTTGTTCGTTAATTATAGAAATAACCAGCTTCTTAACTTTTTCTTTTATTTTTTTAGTTTAATTTTTATCAGAAAAACCCTGCACGTTAAATGGTGAATTCATAAATGTACATAATGACAATGTGCCACTCTGTTTTATCCTTTTAAATATTTTTGCTAAACC